TTTCCCCATGAAAATGCTGTCTTCTCAACAGAACATCAGTAAACCCCAAATGATCTCTTATTGCAAGATGAAAATGAAATTTTATAGTTCTGATGATGCACACTTAAATGAAAATATGACTGATGTCAAATATTTTATTACTGAATTAGTTTTGTAAGTGAAGTTTGTTATGAGCTTAGGTATTCTGAGCAGTTTGTCTCATCTGACATTTTTACAAGCTTTACAAGCTTACCTGGAGAAATTTAACATGTATAGTATATATTTACTAGTGTCTTTCTAATGACTTGTTCTTTTACATCTACTGATCTCGATCTTGTAAACAAAGCTTTGACAAGGAAAAAAATAAACAATATAACAGACAGATGTAACCACATTTGCCAATTAAATATCCTAGATTCTTCTTATGGTTGTATGAGAACTTTTATAAAAATTTCCTTTACAGTACTTAATAGATTTCCCCCACTTTCTGTTAAGACCTGGTATGAAGATCTAATAAGATTAATGAATGACCCTTTAAATGGAACAAATGTTCTGTCAACATGTAAAGAAGTCGGTGAAATGGGTAAAGGTGGTCAAAAGATAGAAACTTCCAGTTAACAAAATAAATAAGGCATGAGCTGTACTATACAGAATGACTAAAGTTAATAATGCTGTACTGTACATGTGAAAGTTGCTAACAGACTAAATCTTAAAAGTTCTCATCTCAAGAAACAAAATGTAATCCTGAATGCTAACTAGACTTACTGTGGTGAGCATTTTGCAATATATACATGTATCAAGTCATTATACTGTACATCTTAAATTAACATGCTGTTAAATGTCCATTTTATTTTAAAAAATGAACAATTAGGAAGCTAAAAAAGTAAAGATTCCTTCACAACCTTAATTTGAGGAACACAAAATCTCAATTGACCCATTTATGCTTTCAAGAAAACCCTCCATAAAGTGACAAAAGAATCTTTTCATCCTTCTAATGAAAGTATCATGAAAAGCAGCAGCCAGAAATCAAAAACCAAATGTTAAATGAGCATTTTAATTGGCCATTACAGGAAAAAGCATAAACGTTAAAACCAAAACATAACCATCTTACAGTTTGTAAACACTTCCTGGAGGGGAGGAAGGGTGCGCCTCGACTTACCTCCTAAACTTACTACTTCAAAAACAACAAACCGCCCAAGTAGGATGACCACACTCGACAAGTTAAGATAACAGCTTCTTCAACCACCTTTCTGTCTGGCTTTCTGTGAGTAATTGGGCGGACTCATTTCGCTGGAGAAAAACAAGTTCGTGCTTGCCTTCCCTCAAACGTCAGCATCTCTAAGCAAGTCCCACCCAAATACATGCTGCTGCTGCTGCTAAATAGCTTCAGTCGTGCCACGGGGGTTCAAAAACCAAGGTGCAGAACTAGACGGAGACTCCGAAGCGGGGTGGCCTTTGGTAGCCTGTGCCTCTTCCCTGCCTCTCTCTCCCCGACACCCGCAGCCCGCCGCCCGTCCTCCCTTTCCCAGGCGGTTGGTATTCAACCCAAAACTTTCTAAGTCGCCTGGGAAGCCGCTTCGGCGCCTGTCATCCTCTCCGGGTCCTCCAAGAGGACCAGTCAAGGAGGCTACGGCAGGTGCGTCAACCCCGACTGCCACTCACCTTGCTGGGTCCCCAGGCCGCTGCTGGCCCGGGCTCAGGGGATGCCACTCTGACCAGATCCATGTAGGGGAAGAAGTCAGCGACGAGAACAGAGCAGAGAGGTGGCAGGACCGGGAAGCAGCTCCGCCGAGGAGGCAGGCGGCGGGGCCGGGACGGCAGGGTGCCGGTGCCGGAGCTCAGGTGACAGATGGCGGCGGCGGCGGCGGCCGCGTCCGGAACTAGACCGCTTCTCTTCCGCCTTTTACGCTGGTATGCTCGCTTCCGATTGGCCGCCTACAGGGGCTCCGCGTTAGGTCACCTTTCTCCGCCTCAGAGGACCGCACTTCCGGTCGCTGTCCTGGCGGGAGGCTGGTGGTCACTGTCGCTCTTTCCTGGCAGGGCAGCTGCCGGATGTGGCTTCCTCTGGCCAGGCTCTACGCTGACTCTGAACCCCTTCTTTGGCTGTGCGAGAGGGCAGCTGTATCAAGTTAAACGGAATCAGAGTGCGTGGACTGTAAATAAACAAGCAGAACAGACTCTGTTCACTCAGTATTTCCCCGGCTGGATTCTCAACTGGGATGAGATGGGAGACTGAAAATGGCAGGTTTAGAGAAGGGAGATCGAAGGAAACGGTCGGGTTTTGTTTTTATTACAGTTGTCGGTAGGAGGCGGGGCGAGGAGTGTGAAATTTTGTAAAATGTGTTATATAAAATGGAGCAAAAATAGGACTGCGTAATAAATGTTTTGATTCAGCTTTTCGTAACGTGACCGGAAAAATCCGGAATAGGTAAATCTGTGAAGACAGAAATCAGACTGGTGGTTGTCAGGGAACAGGGTTGGGAGGAGGCAAACGAGGAATGATTGGTTAATGGGTAAAGTGTTTTCTTTTGGGTGATGAAGCGGTTTTGGAACTTGTTATCGTTGATAGTTGGACAGTATTGTGAATCTGTTCAATGCCACTGAATTTTACACTTTGAAACGTTTACACTTTACCTCAGAGAAAGAGTGTGTGAACGAACCATTTAAGTGTTTTAGGGGTAAAGCAGATACTGGCTATTCTCAGATCAGAGGAAACCACAGTGAAACAATGGTGAGGACGAGGTTAGGAAGCTTAAGGGAGCAGAGTAAAATGACAGGATGTTAGATGGGTGATCCACGTGGACCTTGAAATTACCCAGCAAGACTGCAGGGCTTGGGGTGGAATGGAAGAGTGTGAGTAGGCGCTGGTCTTCAGAAAATGTGCAGACTGTAACCCAGAAAGGTCGGTAGATGCTCTGCTCCGGAATCTTAGAGACAGGCAGAGATGTCAGAGGGCAGCCTTATAGCAGGAGTCACGTTTTGGTAGCTGCACTGGACAAATCAAGGCGTGCCAGCTGGCTCCCCTGCCTTGCACACCAGGCAGAAATGAATAGTCTCAGAGGACACGCAGGATTTACTTCAGACAAGGAAGAGAGAAGGCAGGCTGTGGGGACGAGGGAAGTTTCTTTATCCTGAGTTGGAATTCCAGGTTAGAACAGAGTTTGTGAGTTAACAATCCTAATGGTTGTGTCTCAACAGTTAAGGTATATACTTTATGCCATCAACTATGTGCTCCTTAAAAGGGAAGATAGAAATTTACAATATTTACAGCTTACATTTACAAATATTATTAACAGGAAAAATGTGGTTTACCAACAACAGCATGTTGTTGTATGTTACTTTTTTTTTTTGTTTAGTCCTATATTATTAAATAGTGAGTTCTTGAATGGGGTAATGGCCATTTTGCTGTGAAGTGGAATAAGTACAATGTTTAAAAGATTTAGTTTCAGTTTTTACTCCTATCATTTCTGCTGATAAACTCACTGGTGCTCAGTTGAGATGATCTAGTCTAGAATTTGTACTCCCTAAGCACATGGAATCAGCAGATTCTTCAGTCTCTAAAGGGAACAGAATTAAAATTCTTTACTCTTTATTATTGAAGTTGTCCATTTTGAAAGTAACTGTTTCAAGCAACCAACAAATATTCAATAACTACTTACAACATTCCTAAAGTCCTGTGGGAGAAGAAAACTATGAGATATCGTTGGAGAGATAACATATTCACATAACAATGTTGAATGACAATACAACACTTCTGTCTCAGAAGAGTGCATGATTAATTGCCACATGACAGCTATAGACAGTGAATGTTTCAGGATTCTTTGCTGGTTGGAGAAATCTAGAAAGGCTGCATGGAGGAGGTGCTACCAAATTAGACAACCAATTTGGAGAGAAGCTATAAAGCTAGTTTAGCTGGAATGAACAGCATAAAAATAGGTATAGAGGTAGGAAAGTCTATCATATGTTTAGTGATGACAGAATTTTCCTAAGTTTTCTATAGTGGGGTGTTATGGATATAGGTCGGTTAGGTTCAATTGGGACACAGTGATTTTTGAACCCTATGCAACCCATTGCCATTTTCCATCTTTCTTTCTTTCTTTTTTTGACTGCACCATGTGACTTGTGGGATCTTAGTTCCCCCAACAGGGACTGACCCTGGGCCACTAGCATTGAAAGCCTGGAGTCCAAACCACTGGACTGCTAGGTAATTGCTGGTTGCCATTTTTTAACAACAAATATTTTGTTTTGTTCCCTTTACTGCACAATTATTTTTAAAATTGATATAAAGAGTTGGACACGAATAACTGAACTGAATGTTCTGACTATAAAAGATAAATAAAGGGAGAATAATTTTTAATAAAATATATATTCTTGATCGCATTCAGATAAGGTATCCCAAGCAGTAGGAAGAAAATAGAATAGTGGTTCCCATTTCCAGGGGCCCCAGGGGAAGCTGTTCCCTGGGTGTAGAGTTTCAGTTTAGCAGGATGCAAAAGTTCTAGAAATCTGTTGCACAACAATGTGCATGTAATTAACCCTACTATACACTTAAAAATGGTTAAAATGGTTATATAGCAAATTATATGTTGATATTTTTAATGAATAAAAGTGTGAATTTTAATATGTAAATATATCTGAGCGGATTTCTTCTCATTTAGTTTGCTCAGGATTCAGTGGGCTAGCTCTGAACATTTTTCTTTCAGTGCTAATAGACTGTTGTGAATTGTTCTGTCAGCTGCTGTTCTCCTCTTTTACACCATTTTCTGCCTTTTTACAAGGAGTACCCGCTCTTGCTCTACAGGCGGTCAGAGTCCTGCTGCTGCTGCGGCTGCTGCTAAATCGCTTCGGCCTTAGTGAACCTTATTACTCCCTCCACATCTTGGGGAGCTGGCCCCGCCCACCGCGAGCCTGGGAGTTCTTGAGAGGCGCGGCCCCTTTAAGAGGCAGGCACCGGGGGCGGTCGCTGCGCCGATTGGCGGAGCTCGCAGCCACGTGGCGGTCCTGGCAGCAAGAGCTGTGGCCCGGCTCTGGTGGAGGCAGTGGGGCTTCTGGGGGGTCCCTGGGAAGGGGCGCAAGTTAGCAGATGTGCCTGAAGAAGTGTCTGGTCGGCCTCACGTTTTGTACCTGCTACCTGGCTTCTCACCTCACGAACAAGGTGAGGAGGGGCGGGTGCGGGGTGGTGATCATTGCCCGTGGGGGATCTGAGTCCCCAAGTCGTGTGTGGACCAAATACTGCCTCCCGATTTTTATCTGATTTGTTCCTGATGGTGATGGAGAAGAAAACAGCTCTGCACGATGCTCTTCTAGAAGTAAGATTTGTTGGACGGTACTGTCCTCGTTTCTCGTGCTGTCATACATTCTTTACATCTACTGGGAAACGGGATTTTTGACTGGTGAATTCCCAGGAACTTTATTTGGGGATATGTGGACTACTTTTTTGGGAAGGGGAAGGCTGTTGGCCCCTGTTCCCTGTAGGAGGAAGAGTAGGAGAAGAAATCATGCACGTTTTGCTCTCTCTTCTAAACATACCCCTGCCCCAGAACCACCAAGGTTCCAGAAGCCTTTAAATACAAGATATCAGTCCATCTCCATCTCTGCCTCACACCACTGATTCTCAAACCTATTTTTCTTGTGACTCCATCCCAGGCATTTCGAATATATTTGAGTTTTTCGTGAAATTATTAAAAAATAAAATGTAAACTTAATTTTGTTTAATGTCATAAAACCCTTTTGATGAAAAGCAGTGGCACTGTGTTTTTGTTTTGTTAGGAGGGAGCCTTGGGTTTGGCACTAGGTAGAGAAATGTTAGATCCCTGTGAGCTAGGGTGGGATATCACCCCTTGTCCTGGACTCTGGGGTAGATGCCAAACCAAAGTGATGATAGGGGGCTCAGGACCGCCTTTCCCCACCGTAGGGTCTCTACTACTCTCTTTCCACTCCCCCTTGTGGGGGGGAAAAAAAGCAAACCTAAAACCCTCTTTCTCTAGAAAAGAACTACTAGCAAATAGCAATGAATGAGCGTTTATTGTCTTCATGAAGGCTGTTCAGGATGATGCAAGACATGGTCCAGATGCTAACGTAGTCCTTCCCCTGTCTCAATGTTACAAATAAAATATCAGAGGAAAGTGCAGAGGAACATATTGACTTAACGAGAGTAAATAGGCTTCAAAGAAGAATGAAGGTCCATCTCTAGAATATATACACCAGAGCATAGGCAGGTAACTATACCTGTAACATTTAGAAATTCATACACGGGGAATTACAGGTTGATTAATCCATGGGGGGAGAAAATAGAAATGTAAGCTTGCATTAACACCAGTCTATTGTGCTTTTCCGGAGAAGGCAATGGCACCCCACTCCAGTACTCTTGCCTGGAAAATCCAATGGACTAAGGAGCCTGGTGGGCTGCAGCCAATGGGGTCACTAAGAATTGGACACGACTGAACGACTTCAGTTTCACTTTTCACTTTCATGCATTGGAGAAGGAAATGGCAACCCACTCCAGTGTTCTTGCCTGGAGAATCCCAGGGATAGAGGAGCCTGGTGGGCTACCATCTATGGGGTCGCTAAGAGTCGGACACGATTGAAGTGATTTAGCAGCAGCAGCAGCATTGTGCTTTTTAGATCATGTGAAGAATCAGTGGTGTCCTTGCTTAAAGCCATTTAATGGTCTTTAGGCTTTAAAAAATTCTTTAAGTGTTCCATCATAGAAAAAATAGAAAAAAATACCCAGAAAGACAAAATACAGTTCTCCTGTTCATAATGTGCTGTAAATTTGGTTAAAAGACATATGAGAAATACAAGTTGATCTTAGTTGAATTGGCTTAAAAAAAAAAAACAAACCCTTAAAAAACACACCTAATGTGTTAGATACCTGAGCAGAATTAGTTAGAAAAAAAATCCTAAGAATGAAAAACCAAACAAAAGTGGAAGGAAAACAAAGGAAAGAATGAATAGGATGACAAACACAGAAAGCAGTGAATTTTTAGGTAAACTGGGCAATATATCTACTTTTATCAGGAAAACTCCGAGAAAACCGACTATGTCACAGTTATAGCATGGCACTTCCAAGGTCTGGGAATGCTGAGAGGGATCAGCTGGCCACAGTATCTGGCCCAGCTGTTGTATGTTCCACTTTGTTCCATCCCCAGCTGAGAGGTGGTCAGGCTTCTGGTGACCCTGGGGAAAGCAGCTTCCCTCACCCCCTTTTTAAAATTTTACTGCAGTATAGTTGTTTTACAATGTTGTATTGGGTTCAATTGTACAGTGAAGTCATTTAGTTATACATATGCTCATTTCTTTTTCAGCTTCTTTTTTCGCATAGGTAATCATAGAATACGGAGTAGAGTTCCCTGGGCTCTACAGTAGGTCCTTGCTGGTTGTCTATTTCATATATATGTATATGTTAATCCCAAGCCCTGATTTATCCCTCTTCCACAGGTTTCTCTTTTCAATATCTGTAAGTCTGTTTCTGTTTTATAGGTTCATTTGTCATTAAAAAAAATACATTCCACATATGAGTGATAGCATATAATACTTATCTCTCTGACTTCACTTAGCCCCTCTCTTTAGTATAAATTGGAAGGTCATTGTTTTTGGTACTGTGTGATTTCTTTGGGGAGGATAAGAAAGGCCTTTTTGAAACTTGAGTGTATTTATGTTTCTTTAGTAGGGATTTCCTTGATTATATGGTCTATCAATTCTCTATAATTTGAAAATGCCCATTAATTTGATATTTGTTTTTCAGTATGTCCTGTCTGTCTTGAAATTTACCTACCCTACATTATTCCAAGGGTGAGTATCTTTTATATACATTTGTAGGAAATGTCCAACTAGCATCATTAAAATATTTTTAATGACTGCATAGATTTTTCATTAGATAGACATACTGTAATTTATTTAGTTGTTCTATTCATGGCATTTAAATTGTGCCCCCTTTGGGGGGTATAAACACAACAATATTTTCAGACTTTTTCTGCATTTAAATCTGCCAAATTTCTATTTCTTGGAACTAAATTCCTGTATACGAAGTTTAGATTAAAGAACATGAACTTCTTCAACATCTGCTTGAATATTAAAAATTTATTTTTTAGAATTGTTTTATCAATTTACATTGTAACCCAGCCTGTGTGTGAAAGTTTCTATGATATTTTGAGTTGTGCTCAGAGTATGGCTCATTTTTTCCCCCTCTCTGCTAATTTCATGAGCAAAAAATAATAGCACATTGCTTTGTCTTACCATTTCTTAGATTATTTGTGAAGTTGGATGGTTTTCTTATGTTATCCACTGGTATCTCTTTTTTCAGTGAATTATATTTTTGTGCCTTTTATCTTTTTATGATTTATTTTAAGTTGAAAGATAATTGCTTTACAGTATTGCATTGGTTTATTATCCTTTTATTTTTACTAGGGTTTTAGTATTTTCTTATTAATTTAATGAATTCTTCATATTTTAAGGATGTCAACAACTTTTTTGTCATATTTATTGAAATTTCTTTTTTTTTCAATTTATTCTTTACCATTTCATTTTGTTTATAATTATTTTGATTATTTGGGCTTTTTAAGTGACATTATAGACAATTCATTGTTTGAACATAGGAATGAAGCAGCAGAGAGAAACACAGATGAATCCAGAATGTGGTCTTGTAAACTGAGGGACGCTGTTAGAAAGAAGACAGAAAATGGTGTAGAGTCAGGTCAGTAGAGTAGATACTGTAGCTATATCATGGAGTGCTCTGGTGCTCACATTTCCCCCTCTTACCTTAACCACCTGCCCCCCAGCTGTTTAAAAAAAATATTTTATTTTTATATTGATTGTTTCTTTTGTGATAGCTACCATTGCTTTTAGGGGCTTCCCAGGTGGCACTAGTGGTAAAGAACCTGCCTGCCAATGCAGGAGACTTAGAGATGTGGGTTTGATCCCTGGGTCAGGAAGATTCCCCTGGAGGACAGCATAGCAACCTACTCCAGTATTCTGGCCTGGAAAATCCCATGGACAGATGAGTGTGATGGGCTACAGTCCATGGGGTCATACAGAGTTGGACATGACTGAAGTGACTTAGCATGCACCATTGCTTTTATACTTATTCTTCTCATCACTATATCATATAGATATTCACCTATATGTCCCTAAAATTTTTTTCAATTCTTAATTATTATCTGTTTATTTTAGTGTATGGTTCAATGTGAAGAAATCATCCCCCCCTCATGGTTTTTATTTATGCTAGCCCCATTTATTATATTTTATTGTATAATCCTTCATTTTGCTTTTAGGTTGTTAATATCATATGTGAGGTCATTTTCCTAGAGTCTATTTTTGAGTGCTTATTTGTCAGCTTTTATGGAAAGGGGCTAGTGCTAAATTGTTTTCATTATTATAGTATTTAAATATGTGGTAGAGCGCACCATCCCTCATTCTCCTCTTCCTTTTTTTTTTAAAGTATCACAAATGGATACACAAAAGCAGGGATAGACATCTTAATATCAGTCAAGGTGGAATTCAAGGCAAAAAGCATTAAGTAAACAAAGAAATATGTGTTACAATGCTAAGCAATGCAGTTCAGAATGAAAAGACACATTGTAACGCTAGAGCCTGGAGTTCAAAATGCAAATGAAATAGGGATGAATATCTGTCAACCAAACAACAGAGCATCATCTTCTGTCAAATAAAAATGGCAAGACTATCAGGGATAAATAGAAACATACTACTAATAGGAGACAAACTTACTACTATTTTTTCCCATGACAGATCAATTGGACAAACAAAAAACTAGAAAAAAAATTTCATAAATAGTGCAATTAATAAATATCAGACTCAGTATCTTGAAAATAGAGATTATGCCCCCTTTTAAAATGCCCATAGAATATCCACCATGAATAAAGCATCAATTATTTCCAAAAGAGTCACAATTGTATAATTCCAGTGTAGTAAAACTAGATCTCTACCTCAAAAACAAAAGTCCTACCTACAAAGGGCTCTTGAACATATAAAAAGATATTCTTCATTCATGGGAAAATATAATTTTATACCGTGTTGAGATATATTTTTACTAACAAGATTTGAAAAATAAAATTAAAATTTGATAATATAGTGTTGATGAGGATATAGAAAGCAGGTAGGTGTTCTTGGGACTTCGCTGGTGGTTCAGTGGTTAAGACTTTGCCTTACAATGCAGGAGGTGTGGGTTTGATCCCTGGTTGGGGAGATAAGATTCCACATGCCTCTTGGCCAAAAAGTCAAAACCTGAAAAAACAGGATCAATATTGTAACAAATTTAATAAAGACTTTAAAAATGGTCCACAGCAAAACGAACAATAAGAAAAAGCATGTACTCATGCTCTCATGCATTGATTATAGGTGGAAAACTGTTGATGTTGATAATTGGCACAATGTCAGTGATTGGCATTTTGGTAGAATATAGCAATATGGCAATGGTTTGAATCCTTTAATCCAGCAATTCCACTTCTGGGAATCTACCTGACAGATTTACTTGCATTTATGTAAACAAAATATGTGCAGAGATATACATGTGAAACATTGCAGCCGTTTGTGACAAGCATTTTTAATCAGCCTAATTTTCATCTTTATAGAATCAATTAAATAAATTATATTGTATTCCTTGTGGAATACCATTCAAACGTTAAAAAGAAGTAAGGAAATTTGTGTATTGAAAAGGAGAGATCTTCAAGGTCTCTCCAAAACAGTGTAGTACACTACCAACTTCTGGGAATGTATGTATGTTTTCCTCACTTTAAAAAAAAGATTGGGAATTCCCTGGTGGTTCAGTGGTTAGGATTCAGTGCTCTCACTGCTGTGGCCTAGCATTCAGTCCCTGGTCTGAAAACTAAGGTCTTAAAGCTGCATGGTGCAGGAAAAAAAAAAAATCATTAGAGCACTTCCCAGTGGTCCAGTGGTTAAGACTGTGTCTGCCAATGCTAGGGGTGTGGGTTTGATTCCTGGTCATGTGGCTAAGATCCCACATGCTTCCTGGCCAAAACATGAAACAGAGGCAATATTGTATCAAATTCAATAAAGACTTTAAAAATAGTCCACATCAAAAAAAATCTTAAAAAGGTGAAGATTCTAGTAAGAGTGGTTACCATAGGGAAAGATGGACATGGTGCATATAGCAGACAGGGAAGGGGAGAAGTTTTATCACCACTTACTGTTTTATGCTTTTGAATTTTTTGTTCTTTATAATATTATCACCAATATGTTGTTTCAGGTGAACTTTGCAATCACTGTCAATTTTCTTGCTAATAGTTCATAGCAAGAATTTTAAAAGATATCATCCATGATTGTGTATATTTTGGTCAATAAAGCTAGGCTATTGTTTTCTCCTTTTCTGACCCTGATTGTCCTTTCACTTCTGTCCAGGTTGGGGGACTTAGGGAATTTAGGTGGGAAAGGATGTTGTGGTCACCTGAATTGCCTTTTACCCTCCTCCTCTGTGGGCTTACCCCGAGGCTCAGTGGTAAAGAATCCACCTGCCAAGTAGGTGACACAGGTACGAAGGTTTGATCCCTGGGTCAAGAAGATCCCCTGGAGAGGGAAAGGGCAACCTACTCCAGTATTCTTGCCTGGGAAATCCCATGGACAGAGGAGCCTGGCAGGTTACAGTCCATGGGGTGGCATAATAGTTGGACATGACTGAGCAGTTCAACAACAGCAAGAAGCTTTCCTGGATCCACTCTCTCACCTGTGAGCCATTGTCCATTCTGGGCCTCCTGCTTCGAACAGGCGTCTGCTCAGATTTATTGGCTTGGCCAAAAAGTCCGTTCGGGTTTTCGTACCATTGTATGGGGGAACCCGAATGAAGTTTTTGGCCAACCCAATACTATCTCTAGGAAAACTTACCCAGCTCCCTAGACTAGATTAATTGCTCCCTGCTAGGGTGTTTGTGCTACCTGGTACTCTTCCCCTTAGGACTTTATCACACCTTATTGTATTTACTGGTTCATTCACTTACTTCCCACTACACTAGGGTTCCTCTGCCTCAGCACTATTGATGTTTTGATCTGGTTAACTCTTGTGGGAGGCTGTCCAACATGTTACAAGGTGTTTGGCAGCGTCCTGGCTTCTACTTATCAGATGCCAGTAGCATTGCTTCCCCCACCCCCAGCGGTGACAACCATAAATGTCTCCAGATTCTGCCAAGTGTCCCCTGGGGGGAAGATCCAAATGATCAAGATCCACTGCTTTAGACCAAGCTGTTGGAGGACACGACCCCATGTATTTCCATGCTGCCTGGTGGAGTCATTGAAGGCTCCACAAGGGAGACATAAAAGCTGGATCTTATAGAATAGGCAGGTGTCCACCAACACAGAGGAGATGGGAAGATGTTATGGGTCAAGAGGACCACATGTGCAGACTCTAAGAAGTGTGAAATATCCTGGCACATTGCCGAGGCTGTGGTCAGTTCAGTGGAGCTGGAATGTGGCTGCCACTGGCAGATGAACAGGAGCTGACCCTGGGAGGGGCCGCTGCAGGTCCTGGGAGGCTTGTGTGTCCCATGCAAGTGATTTTGTCCTTTAGGCCAGGGGATCTCCACTGTCATGTCCCAACTCGTGGATGTGTTGTAATCACCTCTGGAGGTGAGGTGTCTCAAGTCATAACTACAAATAAGGTTTTGAAATTTATGAATGACTCACCAAAAATAGAGTAAAAGCAGTGACTGCAGAGCAGGATAAAGTTGTGACTATAGTACCTGTCACTCATTTGGCACTCAGTCATGTCTGACTCTGCGATCCCATGGACTGTAGCCAGCCAGCCTCCTCTGTCCATGGAATTCTCCAGGCAAGAATACTGGAGTGGATTGCTATTTCCTTCTCCAGCGGATCTTCCCGACCTAGGGATTGAACCTGGCTCTCCATCATTGCAGGCAGCTTCCTTACCGTCTGAGCCACCAGAAAGAAGACCATATAATACCCATCTTTCACTTGGTGTTTTGCTGTGCTGTCTGTACTGGGAGGGGAGGGGTGTTTATTTTGTCACCTCTGCCCCCTGCCTGAACTTTGCACTTGAGGAAATGTGTCTCCTGAGAACTTCATGACCCCAGGTGTGTTGGCATAGCAAGGGGGCTGAGAGCTGCTGCCTATGGCATCAGGAGGAATCAACTGTTCTTAAAACAAGTGAGGAGCACAATTAGGTTTGCATTTTAGAACAAACCCTTTGGCTGCAGCATGGAAAATAGACAGTGCAGGGCAACCCTGGAGATAAAGGGGACCCATTAAGAAACTGATGCTGTGATCTAGATGTGGAATGATGGGAGGCTGAATTAGGCAGAGGGATGGAAGGGAAGGCTTCAGGTTTCAGGACTGTTATGGGGTAAAGTCAATAGGATTTTGTAAGTAGATGAGGGAGGTGATGGCATAGGAGGGCTAGGATGACATCTAGGTTTCTGGTTTGGCTGATTAGGAATAGTAGGAGGATGACCAGGATGGGGAAGGGGAAATTCCAGGTTATGTTTCTTTTTTATTTTTTTAAATTTTTTGCTTTTCTTTTTCCCATTTATTTTTATTACTTGGAGGCTAATTACTTTACAGT